TTATACTTCATAGTTCATACTTGTTACTACCTTACTACAATTACAATTATTCAATTGCAAATATCATCATCATCTTGATTATATTTCTTTATTCTCAGTTCTCACTAGTCACTATTAAACTTTTTAATCCTACTATATTATGGATTCTCGCAATTCTTCTTCTTAAAATCCTATTTTCAATGATAGTTGATGTAGCGATTGAGAATTTTAAATTCTTATCTTGAAAAACGTGTCGCTAAGCTTCTCCAAATTTTAAAACGAAAGCGTATTCGTCTAGCCATTATAAAATTGATTTTAATCCGTACAAGTCAAGCCCAATCCCGAATAATTTTAAAGTATCCAATCCCTTATCACTTTTAAGTCCAATTTAGCTTAAGTATTGATTATTTTAGGTCAAATTTATTTAGTCCCAATTATGAAAATCTCTACAGCCCAACTTACTGGCCCATTTAAACTTCTAGAAATCTGTGCTCTAATATTTTTACTATTCAAATATCACCCTCATTCTCCCTCTCCTCACACTCACATAGCAGCCATTTTTGGTAAGTCACTATTTCTCAGTCCATTTCACTGTGTGTCACCATTGATGCTAGAACATCCATTTCTAGCATCAACAGTGAACTCACAAGCTGCAACACAATGCAGTCCATTCACCAACATCACCAAACCGAGACCAACTCACCACCCAAGTCCACTGCCAACGCCACCAAGCTCACCACCAGAACCACCACACTGTTTTCACGAACACACAAGCTACACAGTCACCACACCACCCAATCAACATCGAAACCGCAGTTGCCACTCAACTTCACTGCCCTATTTCACCTCAAAAATTGATTGCAAAAACAACCCAAGCTACAGCCAATCACCCAAACCTCATATTTACTGGAAAAACCATTTCCTTTCCGGCTAGACCAAGGAATCGAACATGCTTCCTCTAGGTGTACAAACTATACTCTCGTTCGATGGACATACTACAGAAAAGAGGCAAGCGTTCTAAATGATGTTATTTCCCCGTCAAGGACTTTATGGCGTGCTTCCAACGACTCAATTACTTGAAGACCTTCGAGGCAATGGGAAATACGATCGCTTTCTTTTTGGCCAATTTGATTCGATGGAGAGATAAACTTGTGAATTGGTTCCTGGACCTGGTCAGAGACCACAGTGTTCGCGCCGACGGTCCAACAAAGAGGCGAAGTAGTGGTACCGCACCCAAATCTTCGAACCACCGAATGCAATCACGCACAACCCGCAGCTACCATCCTAGTCAACAGCCCTATTCCACCCAAAATCCATCCCAAATAGCTTCAAGAACCAGGAAAAAAAAACCCATAAACTTACCTCATAGCCCGAACCCCTTAACTCTCAGACCTTGCACCAAAACCACCTTAGCATCTCCACCCACCCGCCGGCGCCACCACGCGATGGTGGTGCTGAGCTGTCGCCTCACCGGCGACGAAATTGGAGGAAGGGGCGAAACACCCTTCCCATCGTACTCCCCTCCTCTCTGTTGAAATGAGAGAGAGAGAGAGAGAGAGAGAGAGAGAGGGGGGGGGGGGGAGAGATCTTTATTTTAATTTTTTTTTTTTTTT